CATGAGAGTGAAAGGTCTGCCAGACATGAGTTCAAATGGGCTAAAACCAGTGGGTTTCTGGGGGGCAGCCATAACCAAGCTAGTGTCAAAGGGAGGAGCTGTGTCCAGGGAAGATGAAGTTCCATGGACAACTTGGTGAGGTGTGTTTTAATAAGGTGATTAACCTCTACTCTGCTGGATGACTGAGGCCGATCGGTATGTGAAGGTTCCACTTTATGTTTAGGGCTTGGGCTGTGAGTTGTGTGACTTGGGAAATGAATGCCAGGCCATTGTCTGACCACAGGCTGGTGGGTAGGCCAAAATGGGAACTGATTTCTGAGGTGAGAGCTCATGTAACTGCAGCTGCATCCTTTGAAGTGGAAGAGAAAGCCTCTACCCATCCTGTGAAGGTATCTATTAAGGTTAAGATAGTGCATTTTCTTGTGGGGAGGCATGTGGGTAAAATCAATTTGCCAATCTTGGCCAGGAGTACAGCTTCCAGCCTGACGGGTGGGAAAAGATTGGTTCTAGAGGCCACCCTGATTGGAGCAATGGGAACATATGGGGCAGTTTTGGGTGATTTGTTTAATTTGGTCATGTGGGGATAATAGTATAAAGGCTGGAGGAGGTGCGATAGGGGTTCATGGCCTATGTGGATTGTATTGTGGAAATCTAAGAGGATTGGTTTCACTTGTGTTTCAGGGAGAACATAACAACCAGAAACAATATACCAGCCCATCTTTCTTTTGTGCCCCCAGTTCTAGGAGGCAGTGCACCTCAAGGGGTGTACTGGGGTGAAGGCATAGGGGTCATAAGAACCTGAGTGAGGGAAGTGTGGGGATCTGATGATTGAGTGGCCTGTTTTGCAGTTAGGTCTGCTCGTTTGTTACCCTGAGCTATGGGGCTATTAGAGGTTTGGTGTCCCCTGCAGTGTATAACCCCAACCTCCTTTGGAAGCTGGGCAGCCTCAACAAGCGTCCTGATGCGGTGTCCATTTTTTATGGGCCCTCCTCGGTTGGTCATGAATCCTCTCTCCTTCCACATAGCTGTGCAAAAATGTAAAATGTGGTAGGCATATTTAGAGTCAGTGTATATACTCACTCATTTATCATCAGCCAGGGTGAGCGCACGGGTAAGGGCAATAAGTTCTGCTTGTTGGGAGGTGGTATTGGGAGGAAGGGGAGCAGCCTCAATGGTTTGTGTTAAGTTCACTATGGCATATCCCGCTCAGGGGGCCAACACAGAGGTGGCACTCCCATATATGAACCATGTGTGTTGGGGTTCCCTAATGGGGTGTGGTGAAATGTGTGGAAAGGGACTGAGGAAAAGGTCTAGGGCCTCCATACAATTTTGTTCTATGGGTTGAGAGTGCCTTGGGATGAGAGTGGCGTGGTTCAAGGGAGGGCAAGTTTTAAAGGAAAACTGAATTTTCAATGAAAGGAAGGTGGATGAGTTGTAGGCAGGAGGGGGAGAGAACTGACATTGCCTTATGACTGACAAGGTCTTGAAGATGATGGGGGGAGCAAATGACTGTTTGTTGTCCAAAGGTTAATTTAGAGCTTTCTTGTGCTAGAAGAGTGGCTGACACCAAGGCCCATAAACAAGAGGCCCATCCCCGGGCTGTGGTGTCTAGTTGTTTTGAGAGGTATGCAACCAGGGAAAAAATATCTCCTGCCTCTTGTCCCAAAACCCTGACTGCCAATCCTTGGGTTTTGGTGATGTATAGAATAAAAGGATGAGACAGGTTTGGGAAAGATAGAGCTGGGGCTGTGAGGAGAGCAGCCTTTAATTGCTGGAAAAGAGAAAGAATGGGCTTTCTGGGCTCTAAGGGAATGGCAAGATCCCCTTTGGCTGCCTTGTAAAGTAACTTTGCTAGCACGCCAAAATTGGGAATCCATAGGTGAAGATACCCTACAAGTCCCAAGAAAGAAAGGATTTCACCCTTTGTGGTGGGGGTAGGGAGTTCAGAAATTAGACTCTTGCAATCTACCATTACCTCTCTGGTTTTGGGAATAAGGTGGACTCCCAAATAGGTGACTGAAGGGGAGGAAATTTGGGCCTTGCTGGGGGACACTCAATATCCCCTGGAAGCTAGGAAATTAAGGAGAGCAACAGTGTGGGCTGTGAGTCCTCATATGAGGGGTTACAAAGGAGAAGGTCGTCTACATATTGTAGTATAGTGCTAGAAGTGGGCAGAAGTTTGGATAAGTCTCAAGCTAAGGCTTGGCCAAAGAAGTGGGGCCTATCCCGAAATCCTTGGGGCAGGACCATCTAGGTGAGTTGCTGGGATGGATGTGTGTTGGGATCAGTCCACATGAAGGTGAACAAGTCTTGACATGAGGGGTGAAGGGGAACAGAAAAGAAAGCATCTTTGAGGTTAAGGACTGAAAAGAAACAAGTTGTAAAAGGAATGGTGGATAAAAGGGTGTAGGGATTGGGAACAAACAGGGTTATGGGTAAAACGGCCATATTAGTGGCTCAGAGGTCCTGAAACAAGCTGTATGAGCCACTGGATTTTTTTACTGGGAGGATGGGTGTGTCGTATGGTGAATGAGTGAGTTGTAAAAGATTGGAGGAAAGGAGTTTATGAATGATGGGCTTTAAGCCTATGAGATGATTAAGAGCGATGGGATATTGAGGTGTGTTAGGAAAAAGGGAAGGATCTTTTAGAAAAACATGTATGGGGGAATAATGAGTGGCTATAGAGGGGGAAGATGTATCCCATACCATCGGGTTGACCAGGTTAGAGAAAAAGGGAAAGGTGGAGTCCATAAAGCCCAGGTCTGGGGCAGCTTGGGCCAACAACAGCAAGGAAGGTGTTTGATCATATAAGGTTAAAGTTGCCCTCGATTTTGAGAGAATGTCACGCCCCAATAATGGGGCAGGGCATTGGGGTATAACCAGGAATTTATGTGAAAAGTGGGTGTGGTGAAGGGTGTGGGAGAGGGGTGATGTCACTCAAGGGCAGTTTGGATCCTGTAACACCCACCACGGAGATAGAGGATGAAGTGGTGGGCTCCAAATATTTGCGGAGAGTGGAGTAAGTGGCCCCAGTGTTGATAACAAAAGAGAACAGCTTACCTGCTATGAGGAGAGTTACCCTGGGCTCATGTGTGGTTATCTCTGTCGGGGCCTCGAACCCTGGGCCTCATCAGTCCTCCTCCTGGGCAAAGCCAAGAAGTTCAGGCAAGGATGGTCTTACCAGTGGGGTAGGGACTGGCCCACTCCCTCTCTGGCGAGCGGGCCATTTGACCCCCGTTTGTGATGTGGGCAAGGCCCAGGAGGGGGCCTAGGTTTGGGACAGGCTCAAGCCCAGTAGCTTGGTCGCCCACACTTGAAACAGTTGCTGAGTGGCATGTTTCAAGGTTTTGATATGTGAGTCCTCTGGGGAGAGGGTCCCCAGATGGCATTAGCCAGAAGCTGGTATTTGGCCCGATCTCCTTTGTATCACTCCTTCCTTTCTATTGTTAAGAAACCTTAAAAGCCAGGTTGAGGAGGTCTCTCTGGCTGGAATCAGGGCCACCTTTGAGTTTTTTTAATTTTTTTCAAATGTCTGGGACAGACTGAGTGATAAAATGGAAATGAAGGAGAGCCATCCTGACCGGGGAAGAGGGATCTATGTGGGTATATTTTTGTAGCACCTCCAAGAGACAGGTTACAAATTCACTGGGGTTCTCAATGGATTGTTGGGTAATTTCTCTTAATTTATCATGATTAACTGACTTGTAAGTTTTTGTAAAGCAGAATGTATATGGGTGACCATTCGGTCTTGGAGGTTATGGTCCCCATGTTACCTCTGATAATTCCAACTGAGGTCAATACGGGGGATGTCCCAACCCGCAGGATATTCAACACAGACCCTAGAGGGGGGAGTGGGAATTGGATGGGACAAGGGACGCGAGAAATGGAGACAAGACAGTATTCTGATCAAGTCTCGTTTATTGGTTTAAAAGTTACAGCTTATATAGAAAAGAAACAAGCATGCTGTAAGAAGTCAAGAATGCAAGATCTTGAGAAGAAACAGAGACAGGATACTTCAAACAAAGCATAGCCCAAGGTCTTTACAACAGAGCAGAGACTCGGAAGAATATGAAAGGTCACTCTTGAGTAAACTTGCAAAACCGGGAACACAGAGTTCCTGGCACAAACAGATTACGAGGCAGCTATCACGTAAGCATGGTCATCTGGCGCAAGCAGGTTGTCACGCAGGCACAGCCACACAAGGAGGGGTGTGGAGCTACAGGCTCCCAACAGGGGGATGGCTTCAACACCTGTGGACAATGTTTTATTCTATAACAGCTTACCCGTCATTGGGATTAACTGTAGCTGGACAGACATCCCTGTCTTAGGTTGCTGCAGAACAACATCCTCTTACCTGTCATTGACTAACCAGCTCTATTTTTTGAAGGGCGAGTAGATCTGTGTCCCTCATTAGAGGAATGTTCCATCTCCAGTCGTTGATAATGAATCTGAATGGGCCGTGCCTGAATAGCCTCTATCTGTTCTTTAATAAAAGTAGTGACCTTATTAAAAAGGAAAGGCCCCAAAGATAACAAAAGAAATAAACCTATAAGAGGACCTAGTAAAGGTAAGAGGTAAGGTAAGAATCCATTGAGCCCAGTCCAAAGGGGA